CTTGCTGGTGTTGCTTGCATTCTCTTGCACAGAGTATCTGCCTGTGTCACAGCACTGCCCTCATACCATTGCAGAATCATTTTCACATTTTCAAAATATTTTATTATTTCACTTATCTTCCAGGTTTTTGCTTTATTGTCAAACTTTTTTTTTTTTAATACGACAATGTCTACTCTCTTAGATTTTTTTGCAATGAAGAAAGATAGCAAAAAGCACATGCAAATTGTTAGCTTCTCTCAATGAGAGTCCTGCATGCCCCCGGCATCCTGATGCTTCAACATGAGAAGCTTTCCCTTTTAGACAGAATAAGTCTCTGATGAATATGTAACAGACTAAGAAAACACAGTACTGTGATCTTTCCCACTGATTATTTAGATGTAATAGCCACAGTTCTAGGTCTTTGTGGCTAGGATGGAATACAAATGCTTGAGAACTTTTTCCAAAGCTCTGTTTGTGGTTTTCAACACACAATAAAAGAGAGATTTTCTGCATTTTCTTTTATGTATTTTTGCATAGTAACTAACTTGAGCAAAACAGCATATTGTGCCCTAGTTAGTTGAAATACAGTTATCCTAACACTGGAACTAAACCTCACAGCAGCAGTGGCCAGAGGAAATGTAAATCCTGTTGTAATACTTTGCTGGTGTGGTCCCATTTATGTTTATATCCACCATGCTTGTGATTTAACAACTCACTGCTGTACTAAGAATTTTCAACGCTTGACATTTCAGAATGAAATTTAAAATACCACATGCCATTTCACCCGATTCTGCTTTTAGCTGGGACCATTCATATCAAGATGAATTTTTGGTGAACACACAGAATAAAAGGAAGTCTTACTCTTCTGAAGGAAAAAGTATTTATTATTCATATAAACCTATAAAAACCTAAGTAGAAAAATAAACACTGATGCAATATTCATGGATGGGCTCATAGAAGAGAAAAGGATCATTTACATCCTAAATTCAGGAGTCAGTGCTATGATATTGTGACAGTTCACCACCAAAGACACCCATGGGAGAACACTACCCCTTCCAGTCCTTCAGTCTGCAGCAGAATGGTGTGGGTTGTCAGCGAAGGTCTTTGCTACAAGGGAGCAGCAGTTATGAAAACACCAGAACAGTGCAGCTCTGGAGCATTCTGTACTGAACAATCCAGAGGATGCCAGGAGGCTGTGAAGACAGCCCTTCACTTGCCTGCCTCAGCATCTCTCATTAATTGTAATAGAAAGAGGTCAGTGCCTCTATGTTCTGACAGCCCTCTCATCGCCACAACTGTCAGTTCATCCTCCACTCTTGGCCACCACTGTTCCATCCCTTTCCCAATGGCATCTGCACATGGGCACACATCCTTGATCAGCATCTAGGAAAATCACAGAATCAGAGGACAGTTTGGGTTGGAAGGGACCTTTAAAGGTCATCTAGTGCCACTCCCTTGCCATGGGTAGGGACAGCTTCAATTAGATTAGGTTTCTCAGAGCCCTGTCCAACCTGACCTGGAATGTAGCCAGGGATGTGGCATCCACCACCTCTCTGGGAAACCTGCTCCAGTGTTTTATCACCCTTGTTGTAAAAAGCTTCTTCCTTATACCTAATCATCCACCCTTGTCCAATTTGAAGCCATTACACCTTGTCCTGTGGCAACAGGTCCTGCTAAAAAGTTTGTCCCTGTCTTTCTATAAGCCCCCTTCCAGTACTGAAAGGCTGCAATAAGGTGTCCCTGGAGCCTTCTCCCATCCAGGCTGAACAGCCCTAACTCTCAGCCTGTGTTCGCAGGGGAGGTGCTCCAGCCCCCTGGTAACTGCTGTGCCCTCCGTGCAGTGCCGGCGGCGGGCGCTAGGTGTCGCCGTCCCCGCGGTGTGCGTTGGGAGCGATCCGGGCCACCCGCAGGGCTAAGGTCCTTTGTGGGGAGAGCTGTGTCCCACCGAAACACCTCGGAACACAGCGCAGCATCTTCCTGCGCCCCGCCCTAGTGTTCAGAAGCACGATACGTTTTAAGAAGCTGGATAAACTTCCAGAAACATTTGCATCCATGCACAGTTGTCTATTAACAATTTGTTTACCTCTGTACTGGTCGGTTGGTTCTATTCCTATTAAAAATAGAAAGGTTCAGAAAGCCAGGGGCTTTGTGCTTTGGGAGGCAGGTGCTTTGTGAAAATTCAGTTCTGCTGTGTTTTTGCATTTAGATCATAGAATCATAGAATAGTTTGGCTTGGAAGGGACCTTTAAAGGTCACCTAGTCCCAATTCTTTGCCATGGGCAGGGACAGCTTCAACTAGATGAGGTTGCTCAGAGCCCTCCAACCTGATCAAGTGTGTTTCCAGAGATGGAGCATCCATCACCTCTCAGGGAAACCTGTTTCAGTGTTTCATCCTCTTTATAAAAAACTTCTTCCTAACCTAATCTAAATCTACACTCCTTCAGTTTAAAATCATTACCCCTTGTCCTCTCAAGGGTATACTCCTCAAAGCAGCACCTAGTGTGCAGAGCAGGGAGAGCCTGAGAAGCAGGCACAGAATCATAGAATTCTAGAATAGTCTGGACCAGAAGGGACCTTTTAAGGTCAACTAGTTCAACTCCCCTGCAATGAGTAGGGACATCTTCAACTAGATCAGGTTGCATCATCTGATTTTTCTGTCCTACCCTTCAGAGAGATTACCACAAACTTCCCACCTAGACAGCTAGGCACAGCAGATGGCTTACTTCTTGGTTTGGACCATGGTCTGTTGATTCTCTTTGAATAGATAGAGTTTGGTCTGGATCATATAAGACATTTGATGACTATGGATCAAACTTAAGGAATCAAACCAGGGAGTTTGGGTAGTTGGAAAACACTGCTCAGGAATCACTCTCAAGCCATCTGACCAAAGGAATCTCCATGCTAAGTTTGTCAAGGAGACCCCATATCCACTCTAGCCTGCCAAGAGCTTCCCTTGGCAGAAACCAAAATCAGGGTAGCAAAAATTACTGAAGGAGTGCCCACAAGCTGTGGCTGGAGGGGTCCTCCAGGCTTGATCCCCCTCCATACTGACAGCCAGTAGCCTCTTTTGTGCATGCTTTGCTGCTTGTAATGTGCAGAACCATGCTGTAAGGTTCACTGCTCCCATGTGCAATGAGGATGGCCCAAGGTTGCCTAGTGTGAGGTTTTTGTCAGACAGAAAGGTGGAGAGGACTTTTAAACTGTCCACTTAGCTAGTCATTAGATGACACCTGGGGTAAAATGTGTCGGTGCATTATTACTTTTTACCTCCAATGCTTCTGAATGTCAAAATGTGTACAGATTTGTTCATGGTACAGGTTACAGTAAATAAATAAGAAATATATACAATAATAGCTGCTCATGTCAGAGGAACAGAAGACAAAGTTTTCTCCACCACATCCCCAGACTTTGTACCACTGAGCTTGCAATAAACTTAAACCACCATTTCTTAGAAGTGGACTTGGGCTGATAAAGTCTAACTGTGCTCAACGTGCGAAAAAGAACTGCACAATGGGCTGTTATCATCATGGCTTTCACTTTTTCATGGTGGTCTATTAGTGTTCTTTTACAGTAGGAACTGAAGTGGTCAGTTTCTTCAAGTTCTTTTTCCTTGATAATAATCTGAAATGTCTGCTTTATTTGATCAAATATCAAGTTTAGTTTCCTCTTTGTATCTCAGCTCTCCTGTTTGGCATATCTGACTCAGAACTTTGTCCTTCCAAAGGATGAAATTAGGAACTCCACATTTAATACTCCTAAACCTATCTGTGGTAGTGGAAATTAATATCCTAGATCAATACTTTTTACTTTCTCTGAGCAATGGAAAAATTTTTCCCCAGTCCTCTACAAATTCCTTCCCCTCATGTTAAGTACTAAGTAGTATAAACTAGCTATGTGATCCCCATGCTTGTGAGCTTTGTATTTAGGGTCTTGTGGAATGAGAGAAACTATCAAAATGTGTTAACTTGTTTCTTCCATTCCTTATTTTTTTAGCTGCAGTGATATCACTACATATTTTATGACAGCTCTGCCTTTGGCATTTTCTACTCATAGAAAACTCAATCCCCCTCCTTGAGCTCTGTCTGTCATAAATCCATTGATAAAATCTCTGTCATTGAAATCCCATAGTTCAAACTGCATCAGGGTTACAGCTCAACTCTGAGTGTCCTCAGATACAAGGCTCCTCTTGGTCTCTGCATGGTGTCTGTCCTTTCATGTATTGTCTGTGCCAGGGCAGAAGAGTTCAGTTGCACGGCTGCATGCTATGTTAGTTATTCAGAGCACTGATGCTTTATGAAAGTGGCCTGCAGCCATCAGACAAGAAATTATACAGGTTTCTAACAGAGGAGAGACAGATGTCAGTGTGCATTCTCCTGTGAGAAGAATATCTAGTTTTATAAAAGCACTGGTCCAGTTTTTGAAAGGTACAATGAGTGGCAAGGTTTGGTGTCCAAGTATTTCTGAGGAACTGCACACAAGGGTTGGTTTCAATACTAATCACTTCTTTCTCTTTTTTTGTAAAGACTGCAGACTTTGGCCTGTACCCCAGCCATCACAGAGGGCTAGATTTAAGAATCAAAATTATCTAAAGGTGATAATGGAAACACCGTATGAGATTGCTAAATGCACTCAGTGTAAATATTTCTTCTAAGTTTCCCATGTGCTACGGACTCCCTGACAATGAGGACATGCTTTACTGACAATACATAACAAGCCCTTGACCCCTCTGCCAGGATCTCCAGCATCAAAACAGACAAAAATCAATTGAAAACAAAAAATTATTTCTTTGGAGTAATTGTTAGAAAGGGGTAGAAACTAATTAGCAAAACGTTAATGCATCCCAAACCTCTGAACTTTTGGTCATATAAGAAGACAATACCTATGAGACAGACACAGCAAAATCCCACTTCTCAGATGTCTCTGTGGCAAAGTATCCCATTCATTGACAGAACAGAAACATATGAAATCATGAAGCATAAGTGTAAAAAACAGAATGAATCCTGAACGTGCCAGGCACTTACCTTTCCTGAAGCCCTACGGGTTTCATTCTGAAAGGAGATGGACTGGCACACAGGGGAGGTTTGAGCTCAGGAACACATTGACTTTGAGGGTCCACTACAATATTGACAACCTTTGGAGCCTGTTGAGGCTGGACCATGCTGTTGGTGGTCTTATACTCAGACTGAGATGCCTGTAGGGGAAGGGGTGAGAGGTGAATCTCTTGCTTCTTTTCCTTCTCTTGCCTCAGTGACAACTGGATCTTCTCCTTTAATCTGTACAGAACCTACAGAAATAAAGAGAATAGACCAATCTCAATTGCCTGGTAAACAAGGCAAGGAAGGTTTCACAAATGCTTGGTAAGACTGATATATGTGGCTTTCGTTCCTAGAAGGTAGTCACAAGTTACATTGCACAGCATTTCCCAAGGCAGGATAAATATTTCCATTACATAAACTGCAGAGTCTACATGTGGGCAGTAGGGATTTTAACAGTTCCCACTGTGAGGCAGTAATTATTCGTAATACCAGAAAAGTTTATTATTATTGGGGCAAATAACATAGAATGGAAATTAGTTACAAAAGACATTATGAAGAAGGAAATACTGATAAATAGAGTAACTGTAGATTTTTTTTAAAGCAATTTAACAGAAGAGAGACAAGGCACACAAGAAAATAGGTGCTCATGACAAATCCAGGTACAACACTCTAATTATAGTAACAATTTAGTAGTATCAATTTGTTTTAGAGCAGATGTTCTTAAAAGCTCTTTCTCATCTTACCATGGCATGGAGCTGATGGCTGAGCAGAGTAACTTCACTAAATCACTTTTGTAATTGTAGGCTGCTACTACTTTGAAATACTCCTCAGGATAAGGATATGCCCCAATATCCTCAGAGACACAACCTGTTCTGGAATAAAGCTGAAGCGACGAGTGGCCTATGAATTAATTCAAGCATCTGTTCAGCAAAGCGTGCTTTACAATTACCAAGAAATTGACATCTGGACATACTGTAATACAAGGATTCTCTGTCCATCTATTGCTTGTGAATGTGGACATCAGATGTCTGCAACAAAAACTTATCAGAAGTTGTATTGATATTCTTCCATCAAACTCCACACTGATGTTGCTAAACACCGTCTTGGTGAGGGCTGGTGGGTAGCGTGTGCTTGGTAAGGCCACTCCAGAGGAACCCATGTTATGGATGCTTAACACATTTTGTCTCTTTGGAGGGCAATGCAAAAAGTGGTTTCTGGGCTGTAGTTGTGCCATTTTCAGAATGTCCCTTGTAACCTATGAAACTTATGAGAATTACTATCCTGAATATTGCATGGAGGCGGGTGAAAGGCGCACAGCTTTTTGAAGGTGTCTGCAGATACCCTTATAATTTTCATTCCACTTTATCTGTTTCTGTAAAATATTTTACTTGAATCCTTGAATAAAGACAAAGCCTAGACAAAAGCATTTTTCCCTCTGCAAGTCAGGAGCTCTTTGACAGCTGTTGCCCTGCTAGCACCACATAAAGAACTAGGACTCCATAGCTTTCCAGTGACGACTGGATATGTCTGATGGGTTTGTTTGTTCAAGGATTAGCATTAGAGGTTTAGCTGGGAACTGACCTAATGTCATTAGCAATACACCCATTAAACATGACTTAGCTATGTAAACCATCTGTTCATTCAGAAGAGTTTAGAATTAAATTGCGTGGATAAGATCTGTTTGTCATTATTTTGCAGAAAAAAACAGCCCTAATGTGAAGCAAGGGCACAGGTATCAGTAAAGATAAAACAGGGGCTTGAAATATTTCAACTTGCTTTTCCTCCAGTGATTGCTTTAGTCTAATTTTTTTCTGGTAATCTACAAATAAACAGCTCAGATATTTACAGCCATGGCAATGCTAACTATACCTTCTTGTCAGTGATAAGTCTGGATGTAGTTTCACCCCTTGGAGACCCAAGGAATTACAGTTTTGACTTCCAAAACATGCACAAGTATTATTTCATATCATTTTAAATAATCTATTATTAAACCCTAGGAAACAAAAGATAGCTTGGCACTAGCAGAAGTTGAAAAAAGTTAAAGAACCACATTTGATCTAAGTGCTAACACACTTGGCTCAGAAAGTGTGGCAGGGCTCTCATGTTTTTAATGAATTCCAAGTAAAGTAAGAAACCCAGAAATGACAATAAATATAGTGATTGACCCAATCATGTAAGCTTTGCAAAGGAAACAACTTAGTTATACTCATATTTCAAATCGGTTTAGACACATCTGTCAGTATGTATGGAAACAAGTATGAAGCACTTCAATTAGGAAAACTAACATTTGACTGATTCCCCAGAAGATTCATTGTAAGGCAGATCAAGAAGCATGGATTAACTGAACACACAAAGTACTATTTCTCACTCACAAAGTGGGTCACCTGTAATTTTATGTTATGCCCTAGCTTGGCCAGTACCTCCTATCTACCCATTCAAAATACCAGTGGAAACTGATTTTATTAATCTTCAGAGATTGACAGGGAATCCCAATAAGATAACTATGTCTCCAGAACAAAGATCTTGGCAATGTTTATGTGGAGCAGTGGCACTAAAGCTCATCTGCCTAGAGGTATTTAGGGCACCCAGAACTGTATAGTAAAATCTCCCATAAACCTTGGAAATTAAGAGAGTTCACTTTAATTAAAAGCATTCTCTCTAGCAAGTACTTATCAACATGTGTGTGAGGCTGTGTGTGTATCCCTGCATGAACAGAGCTATTGTGCATATGAACGGATGAGAAGAAAATCAGAAAAGAAAGTTTCCCTCAAACCCCAGGGAAGGAAGCAATGAATAAAAATGTGACAGTTGTTAGTCATGTTATCTAATGTGTTACTGGGAGGCACTTGGATACCATGGTTTGAATGCACTAGAGTGAGTTCTGTAGAAGCAGAATAAAAGAATTCAGATAATCTTTGACCACTTTATAGACAAATCCCCTAATTTCAAACTGGCTTAAACATTCTTGTAGTATGATAAAAACTCACACTATTAATTTTGATTTAAATCTTTAACTGGCAAAAGCTGAAGTTGATAGGATGATACTGGTTTAGCTGTATATGTTCCATAATCAAAACTGCTTTCAGAAATCCTGCACCACTTTACAAATACTGAAATTGTAAGTTTAAGAACAAGAGATAGGTCACATGAAAATTTGGTGCCGGAATGCATTTTTTTATTATTCAGTTATTTTCCTTGTTAAAGAAATTCCAAAATATGATCACGAAGCTGAAAACATATCTATCATTTAGGTAACTATCCTCCCAAAACATCAAGTTTTTCATAAACTTGTACATAACTCCTAAAATACCAGACACAGTAGTAAAAATTTAGATCCTCACAATTTATGGACAAGGCAAAGTCCATGGAATCACAGATTCAAAGAATAGTTTGAGCCAGAAAGGACCTTTACAGATCACCAAATTCAATCTCCATGCCATAAACAGACACATATTTCACAGGTCAGGTTGCCCGAAGTTCATGCCTTTCATTATTTGAAATGAAAAAACATAAATCCTATTTTGATTATTTTTCTTGTGGAAAAAGAAAAACATTTAGAAAACCCTCTTGTCACAACTAGCTGCAGATATTTCATTATCTGAGGTGATATTTCCAAATTAAAAAAAAAAAAAGAATATGCAAACATACTGGTTTATTAAAACAGGCAAAATTAGTAAGAAATGTGATAGAAAATATTTTAACTCACTGACAAATATTGTGTTATCTAGTAAATTTGGAGATGCCTCAGTTATTTCCCTATCTAGGTAAAATAAAATAGAAAAATGGAGACCTATTTTACACATAAGAGTGCAAAAGTTACTTATTCTTGCTTAGTACTTTGCTTGGCAAACTTAGAAATTCTGTATGATGTTCCCAGTGGAAGTGAGACCATGGTGAGCCCATGATGTGGGCAGCAATGAGCTGTGTGTTGGCTTCCACATATGATGAATTGCTCCTGATTTACAAGAGGTTCCCATACCATGGCAATGAGGACCAGCTGAGTAAATGCATGAAATGGCCTCAAAGGTACAATTTACAAACCTCAATTTAGCTCATGTGTTGTTGTATTACACTAGATAGCAATACTCCACATTGTAAAGTTTTACTTATAGAGGACAGACATTTTTTCAATTTCAGCCAAGCATTAAGAAACCTAGAAGTTGCTAATGCCCAGTGTTCTGTCAGCAGAGGGAAGCATCCTAATTTCTAAAACCCAGTTAAGAGAGAGTGTTGCATGCTTTATAATTTCTGTAGAAACTACACAGAACGAAGCAGTAACACTGGCAATTCAGCTGCCTTACACTGAGCATCATTCGTCATCATAATCATCACTTAAAGTACTTCCTGCTCCACACTTCAAAGGATACTTCCAAGTCATCTACAGATGCAGACTAAGCTTTCTGCTTTTGGATCCTTTAAACTACAAATAACCAATAGATGCCTACCCTGTAATTTCACAAAAGCAACCATATTTTGGCAGTTTCATATGGTTGCTACAATCATACAGCCAAAGCCACTGAGGGTGAGCCTTATGCCAAAACTGGATGGTCTGACAGACTGCAATGGCTGAATTTGCAATACTGAATAACCACTTTTCACAAATCTGACACTCTGACACACATTAAGTGGGAAGAAAAACAGTATGAGCTGTTAATTAGCTTTACAGATTGCATATACCCCATGTATCAGCAGGTCCTGCCAAAATCTGAGACAGTGTTCATTTACACAGTCTAACTAGTAGCACACTTAAAGATACAGGTTGGACCTGGGAGGGGACACAGTAATTCCATCTGGAACAGAGTTCAAGGAGCGTACTAGTAGTACCTCTGCCCTAATTTCAGATCAGCTACACTCAAAGTATTTCTGACAGATGCTTGCCTAAAACCTAAATGGGTGAAAGCTCCCAAGCTTCCCCAAGCAATGCACTCCAAGGTCTAGAGCCACACGTGATAACCAGGTTCTTTCTAATGAGTCAGGCAAATCACCCTTGGAAAACCTTGCTTTTTTCCAATCCCTAATGGAGAAATTATTATCTTCTTTCTTTCCACAGCCTTTGAAATCTTTCCTCCTATAACTGCCTGACATTTTTCACAAACATTGTACCCAAAAGACACCACAGAGAATGAGCAAGACACCACACTATCACCAAATTCTTACCAGAGCCAAGTTGAATTCAGATCTTAGAGATCACATCCTCATTTATAAATCCCAGGGCAAGAAGTGTATTCTTTGGAACACTGTGGTGTTACTGACTTACTTTAGTGCATATTCTGTGGTACTGCTGCAACTTCTCCTACAGAACCGTTGCTTTGGCATGCATTTCCTACATTGTCTTAATGCACATGATTAGAGCTCTTGTCCTTGCCAAGCAGCATTCTTGTTCCTTCCTAGTTTTTCTCTGGCACCTTAAGAATATTTGAAGTTCTGATACTGTCCTCCACAATGCTTACAATTCCCAATACTGTTTATGAATTCCAAATCATTAATGAAAGTATTGTTCAGTACCAGGACAAATACAGACAGAATTTTCTACACCTGTCTAGTTAAGCAGTCAGTAATGAACAAAATAGCTCTTCTCCAAAGTAAAAAGTTAGTAATTGTAGAGTTACCCCCTTATTGTTGAGTGAGATGGCATGGAGAAATGGAGATGACAAGGAAGTAGAAATTATACAAAACCACACTTTTCTGTGATAAAATAAGTGCTTTTCAAATCTTAGGGAGACTTTAAAAGATTAAATATAATTTTGTTATAGATGTGATGATTTTGTAATATATTCAGTTTAAACATTCTTTCCATCTTAAGGTTGTAAGTTGGAAATCATCTAGGTTAAAGAAAATTAAATATGCTTAAAGGCAAAATATCTCAAGAGTCTCCAAGATACTATATGTTCATATGCTGATAATTGTCATAGAATTCAGTAAACACTTATATTTATGCACCACAGAAAAATCACACAATTCAGAGAAGGAAAACATGTAAAATACAAGATTGAAAAAAATTTAAAAGATCAGTGGTGGTGTGGTGGTGTTTACCTTCTGTGTGACCCTTCCATATCTCATATTCAACATATTAGAAGTATGTCTAATGCTCAGAAATCTGCCCACTGAACTCATACAGTGTGAATGGCAAAGTTGTTAAAAATATGATTATCCTTTACGTACTTACAAGTCATTTCAGTTTAAAATTTGTATATTTGATCCATGAACACACACTCTTAACAACTGTGCACTGACAATATTGTACCAATGTAGTGTTGCCTTTACTATCCTCTAAAACTGAAATACAGGCAGGTAAGATGACTTCAAGAATCCTGGGACCTTAGTAAGATGGTTGAGAAGTCATCACTCATGTCCCTAACAGTTACTTTGCAGACTTAAGAGGCTGTTACTGATTTTTTTCAACTTCTTTCTAGTTACATTTTTCAATTGGACTAAAAAATACTCAAGAAATGTGATTCTTGAAACTTCACAGCATTATGAGAGCGACCAGCTCTTACCTTGTAGATGAGTTTTTAATAGCTTTGAGAAAACACCTTTCATATAAAGAGTGTGTAACCCTATCCTTCAGACTGAGAAAACCATAAAGTAAAAAACAGCAATAAAGGTAAAAAGGAAACTTACCATTAAACAAGTCACTAGAATGACAAAGATGCTGAGAAAAATGACAACCGCATAAAATCCTTCTTTGCTCCAGATTTTGTCTGCTTCATGCTGGCCTTGCAAAACATTTTTCTTTTTTAAGCAATGAAACAGAAAGAGAAAGAAAAAAAAAAGTTACACAGTAGCATGTGCAGATTAAATAGGTCTTGTTGTACATTAATCACCCTCTTCAGCTTTGCCACAGCTCACAATCCACAGTATATGGCACTCACTCTGAACGCTGCTATTTGCACCCTGCCCTGGCCATGCACCTGCCTGCACTCTGCCTGCTGTGTGGGTGTGATCCAGCACTCCCAACGCTACACTCCATCAGTGGCCACCCAGATAACCCTCCACCAGGAGTCACAGGCTGGCTGAAGGTAAATAAACGAGACCCACTGTCTTAATTGGAAACTACCTGGCTCATTAGGTGAAAGGGCAGTGCTCCTGCATGGGTTTTGAGAACTGCTTGCCCTGCCTCTTTCTTCCCAGTGCTTATCTCAGGCACCAGCATCCACATGCCAACCTTTCCAGTGTTTACACCTGACACAGGAGCAAAGAGCAGGTGACTTGCTGGTTTGTCTTCATGACCCAGGAAGCTCTGACACTGTCGCCTCTAGATTACACACACACATATGTGAAAGATACTGATTCTGCTGAAAATAATCTCATTTTCTGCCTATCTATAATTCTGATTATGCTTAATCTCATTATCTTTGACTTGCTGCTGATAGTACATTTCTGAAACAGCTGTGCATACTAGAACTTCCAGAGCTCCTGGGGAACTCCTGGGGATTATGAAATAATAATACTTGTAAAAGCATTTATTTTTGTCTTTATTACAACATGAGGACTTGGTAGGGCTATTAAATTACCAAAATTTCACTGCTTTCAAGTAGAGATTTGGTAGTAGACACAAGGTACATGTACCCTCAGTCTAAATGCAATATATTATTTAGAATAAAGGATATTGTTGTGTTTCTATGACCACAGTTCAGCAGACATTGCTCTCCCAATTTTCAGGTACTTGCTTTTATTTTATTAATAGTGTATTTTCAGTACAGTTTTCAGGATAAGTAAAAACAACTTTCTTAAATTCTGGTTTCCAATGTAAATGTTCAAGGTCTTGGTGTTTCCCTTTCACTGAAATTCCCTAATGGCTTTAATTAAATTTCTTGTTTAACTAGTGAGTTGCCTTCCCATCTCAAGGTGGCCTTTTTTCCTCTCTGGGGATATTGTGTATTGTATTGTGTATACTGGTAGTTTCTCCTAGAGGAAAGAGTTCCTCCATTTAAAGATGAGTGGCTGCTCAGTGGACCTGTGTAAGTGGAGGGACCCTCTAGCACTTCACATGGGTATTTCACGCTCCTTTTTTGGATAGTTAATGTATCAAGCAAACTCTCTATCTTCATCAGCCTCACAAACAGATAAAGTCTTGATGATGATGAATTAATGTGGAAAAACTTCTTGAGGAGTAGGAGATCATGGCTTGAGGAAGAGAGGACCAGCTGACAAAAAAACTGCTGTGAGCTGGATTTCAATATAGTTTTCATGGTCCTCCTTTGAGCACAGGTTTGTGCCCTGCTTGCTTTGAAAAGGGTCAGGACAATGCAATGCAAATGCAAGACAATTCACAGATCATACTGCCGAGAAATGCAAATATTTAGAGAAAAATTTGGTACCATGGCTAATTTGCAGAGACTTGCTTATTAAAAGAAATGCACATGTGCAACTGGGAGTTGACTGCTTTAGAACTGAAAGCATAATAAAGAAGAGTTTTCTTTGGAAGTCATAGCCCTGGGGACCAGAATGGAAATCCATCTCCTTCTGCAAACTACAGAAACCAACCTTGTAAAATTAGTATATTTCAGTGTGTGTAATCATGCAGTGTTTCATGGTCTGGGCTTTAAAGTGTTGCAGGTATTGACAGTTTAAAAAGGTTTGTAAGTGTCAGTCTGGTGTTTAATGAGCAACTTAAAAACCAGAGCTTTCAAAGAGAAGCTGGAAATCTTGCCAAATATTTCTGAAAAAATTGTACCTGACATATTTAAACACTGCTGCCACTGTAGCAGAGTACAACTCTGTGCAATCTGCTACCTCAACACAACAAAGTTATTCTGCTGTGCTCATGGCGCAGGACACGGGTCATAATAGTGGCTCAGAGCCCAAACCTGTAGCTGCTCTGCATTGGGGACTGCTCCTGTTGAGCTCCATGTGAATCCTGTGGTGACAGCAGCAGCTGCAGATCTGGCCCATCAGCTATAATGTTTGACCCTGGATGGGTTACCTGATGGCTTTCTGGTGTTTCATATCTCTCAGGAGGAAATCTAGACAAAAAGCAGAAGCTGAAAGAGAATTGGCCCTGCTGACCTTTTGTAAGAGAGTAAATAGAGGTTTTTTGGTACCTTTTCACTGAAAGGACACATACACTAAAAAGTAAATGAAGAACCAATAGGATTTTTAGTCTCAATGGGTGAGAGACTTATATTACCTTTAATTCATTAGGGTCACAAAACTTAAAATATTTTACAACAGACTTTGTATAGATAACGTAGTCTAAGACAATGAATCGCTATGATGTCTGTCTAATGCTATGTGTGTTCAGGATATGTCTTTCCCTCATTTCTCTTTCTAACAATAATGTTCAAAGAATATTAACAAACACTGTAAAAAGGGTATATGTGCACCACAACTTAAACTTATCTGACACACCATTTTGAAACACTTTAGTAGTATCTTCACCTAACCAAGGAAATCTCTCCCCCAAATCTAACTGGCAGACAGCAGAATCATTGCTTAAGCTGCTTCCTCCTAATGACAGAAGAAGCTGTGACCTCCAGTAACTGAGTCATCTCACGCCCATGATAAGGAATTGCTTTCTGAAATGTCAGTGCTGCTCATTCAGAACTTTGTTCCTGTATCTGGGAAAACTGATAAGAGGGACATCAACTGCCACCCTCACTCCAAATTGCTGACGCCCAGGAAAAAAACTCGCAGGATGGCTAAATGATAGGCAAAAAAGAGAGAACTCCTGCCCACAGGCACAGGTGATGGGCCCTCTGCGGGCAGATGTGCTGTGTCTCAATCAACTTACATAAGTCAGCATTTCTCTCCCTCAGCTGGAAACCTTTCCTGCCTCAGAATCCACTAAGACTTTCAAAGAGTTTTTGAGGAGTGGGAATGTACCACAACAAATGTGCTCTTAACAATGTCATTTAATCGCTAACCTAAGCTTACTGAAGAGTGCTGGCACACAAAGGTAACTGCTTTGCTCTGAACTGGAACAAATGTGTTTAGAAAAAACAATATTTTGTAAGCTTTTTTTTAAAAAGAAATTCAAAATCCACTTTGGTCTTCCTGGTCTTATTATGGAAAAATAGTGGAGTGTTCCTACAAGTAAATAAAATGAGCAGCCAGCTCTTGATAATAACAACAGAGACAGACATTGACCTGAAGTAGTCACTGCATAATCTGTGACTGAAAGATCCTGTCACAGTATCAGGAGCTGCCAGGAAAGGCAAATCTTCACTAGAAAATAGGTGAATTTGCAAGCTGGGTCAGTTAACCCTAATTAGTTCCTTGGGCTGAAATACTAATGAGAGCACAGCAAGCTGTAGTTCTAAGCTCAGAATAAAGCTTATAGGGAGCTGAGAATTGAACTCAAGATCATAAAGGGTTCATGGAAGTTCACAGTGAATTACTTTGGGGTTTTTTTCTGCTATTTTAACTGTGTTAGCTAAGGCACGTTAGGAGACTCTGCCAAGAAATCTCTTCCTTCCCCGGTAAGAACATGCAGGAATGGGTGTGACCTCTCAAGTTCCCAGGACACTGGGTAATAGCCACTCAGCCTGGTCTCCCATGACAAAGCCTCCCCTAAGACTCTGCCTTATGCGATGAAGTGCTGTGATTTCACATCCAAGCTGGCAGGCCTGCAGGGCCTGTCCTTGTTGGGGTGCTCGATGCAGCCATGCAGGTGTAACACTGTGCCCTCCTTGCTTGGTTGCAGGAGCATGTCCTTGTGCTCTGCTTCGTTCCTGGGTGCCTCTGTCAGTCCAGGCTGTTGTAATTTCTAAGCTATTGATTTTGATCACTTGTCCTTACAGTGACTTACAGTTTCTGTATGCTTTAAGTGCATGATTGCTTCCTTTGATTTCTTCTCTAAGAAGTTAATATCACATACTTCAAAGGCAACCAAAAGAAGCCTTGTGCAAGCAGGCTGTAATGGTACATTTTGGGATTGCATAATTTTGGCATGAACTCTGGAAATTTGTCCTCCCAGCTGGCAGTTAGCTTAAATCTCAAAAGAGAGTAACCCTTATTTTACTTACTGTAACTTCAGTTATTTTTGTCATTCAAAACCACTTCAAGTTCTATTCCAGTAAGCTCTGAAATCCAGTAGTATTTTCTTCTTTCCTCTGAGCAAGCACAACTTAAAGGCATTAGAAAGTCAGGATTCCCACACTGTAACAACATGGAATGCCCTAGTCATTGAATTTAAAGTTCATTGACTCTTTGTTCTGGAGAAGTCTGCTCCTGACCCTGATACATACCACGGTGCAGAAAACAATCCTAAATCCCACTTCAGACACAAACTTTAGACCATAATAAAAGAGCAAATGCTACTACTGTGATAAGCCATTGGAAGAGCAAGGACATATAAGAGGCATTGACATTGCCCTGGATCCCTGAAATGGCAACAACTCCTTTAAATTTTCTCATTCCCACAGGTACATATCTTACACTACACCAGGCAGCAACTCTAGTGGTTCCTACAGCAAAGGCACATAGAGAAACTGCTGTTTCAGCTACTGCAGAATGAGAAACTGGGATATAAATTTAGAGACAGGCAATTCAATTTAAAATAGATCAATCAGTGATTGATGCATCAGCAGATGTGAACCAGCAAACTATTTCTGTAGTGAATGGAAATGTAGTTCCAGGTACTTACATCCACTGAGACTTTTGCTGTTTTGCATGGGCTGAGACTCCAAGGAGAGAGCCTCAGTTTTCCACAGGGGTTTTCCTACATTATCTTGGTAAAATTTCTTTGGACAGGCTAATCTCACCCACCATTTACCCTCTACAGCTGGGGGTCTAGTTCAAGCTAAACCTTGTTAAAAAGAGTCTCAGTCTCAGGAGAGGTGTCTCAGAGTTGGGATGAACTGCCTGTTGAACATAACCCTTTCTGTTTACTGTATATAGAGAGAGAGTCAGCAGACTTTAAAGTCTTAGGCAGCTCATACTGAAATACACATACAAAAAGAGACAAATTCCAACCCTAACACCTCTGTGTCAGCCACCCACCTAGAAAGATGAGGATAATGAGTCCTTTCTGCACAGATATACTGATAGTGCACATACATTCTGGTTGTGAAGCATTCAGACTTTTGATGGAAGAGTGTACAATATATTAGTTCATAATTTAATTAGGACTGATAGCTCAGGAATACACCCAAGTAATAGGTAAAATAATGTGTCAAAGCTGTGTGAAACTTTGTATAAGTGTATCTGCCTTCAAAGGTTTGCCTGTTTTGTTTTGGTTTACTGTTACTTTGTTTAGCTGACCAAGTAAATATTGTATGTTGCTGTCTTTTACATGTCGTTTTCTGTGAAGTCTTACACAATTAATTGAGATCCAAAAGGAATATTAGTGTAAAGCTGTATGAATTTCTGGGATCAGTGCCTTAGCTGTATAATCTGCTATCAAGTGAAATATTAAAATAATCTCTTGTTTTTCCAAAAGTATGAGAAGGAGTTAGAGTCTGCAGAACTTTCATTCTAATAATGCTTTTCTAAATATTCCATCTGCTTTTCTACAATTTTTTTTCCAGACAGAAAACTCAAACATCTGAGCACTTATTGAAATGTATCTAATGCAACATGAGATTTAGAGTTCAGCACTGTTTTTTTCCAGCATCTCTTCATAGCTTGATGACATTTCTCCACTCATCTATTATTCATATATGTTCTTTCCCCATGTCTACCTGAAGTGTTATTTGTAACTGAAATGCTTGGAACAGATAATTGCATCTATCACAATTGTCAGACTCATGTGCTTCAGGAACAAAGGAAACCCTGACCTAAAGAAAGCTTAGCTCAGGTTGCTGATGGGTGATATAAAGACTTGATTTGACATTTGCACAGCACTGCTCTGCTTTGTTTTGTATTAGAACAGCTAAACCCCGAAAATCTGCTTATTTTCATAGTGGCAGGTTGCTGGAGTAGAATATGAACTGACCATGGTTTTATATTTCAGTTTTTGTAACAAAGACACCTTCCAGATTCTATGAGTTAGAATACTTAAAATGAGCAAAACAATTTCTAATCAGTAGAATACAAGTGGGCATAACAGCCAGTACTAACTCAGCAATGGCTCAAACATAGGTTTGGATGTAAAAAAATCAGGAACTCTTTACCCATAGGGGAAAACAGCTCATCAGAGTAATTTTTTTTCCCTCTTCTGGACATAGACATCTCCTCTGTCAAAATGGGAGCTTCCACTAGAAATGCTATTCTTGATAACATGATTGAAGTTGTTTGGACCTTGCACTGGATTCTGAGGGTGTTTATATGTAGGTAAGGGCTTCTAATAAGGCACTAAATAAAATGCGATGTGATGTGACCATGTTTGTGAGCTCAGTGGTTTCCTTTCCTCTAAAGGCCTTTGCTTTTTTTACCATTTGCTGTGCATGGTTTAAATGGTCAGCCCACAGTTAGATGGCCATCTCACTGATAATATCTTGGACACTGTGGAGATGACAATTCAGTCTCTGCTTTGAAATAGATTTTTTTTTTCCATCTTGCAGCTATAAGGTGGTTTTTTGCCCTCTTTTTGGAGCAGGTAAAGAAAATAAATCTCTTACCTCTCCTGCAAATAGAAAGAATCATGACTATAACAAAGAAATTCAGTTTTTCAAATCAGGTAATCACAAATTACATGGTTAGTAAACCCTCCCACCTAATATCTGCATATCATTTATCTCTCTACTGAAATTGTTATGCCTGCTGACCCACATTAATAGACTGAAAGTCCTTGGGTCCACTTCCTTTAAGGCACTTGATGCATGCTTAGGTTCTAAACTCTGATTTCAATGGTAGCTCAGCTGTGTGAGGAGGACCTGGATGTCAAGGTGTAAATAGCCTAATGAAGCACTACTAAAGTAATTTAACAGAGCTAGTTGGATGGAGCTCTGAGCAACCTGCTCTAGTAAAAGGTGTCCCAGCCCACAGCAGGAGGGTTGGAACCAGATAATCTTTAAAGTCCCTTCCAACCCAAACCATTCTAGAACTCTGTGATAATTGCCTCATAGTAGTAATGCTACTTTAGCCTATATATTTTTTGCCTCATGTTTGAGAACCTCAGCCTGAAAACTACAAGGAATGTAATGACTGCCAAATTTGTATAAAAATACAGGTTAGAAATTGATAACTAACCTCAGGGGAGACCTCTGTTATTCCAAACTGGGATAAACTCTGATGCAAAATGTTGATATTAAGGGAACGCAGCACTTCTTCAGATGGGAGTGCCTCAGAAATTCCTGGCTTCCTGATCAGTGGGGACACAAACAGTTCCACACAGTTCTTCTTCCCCTAGGAAAAAAAAGAAAAGGAAGAACCATTGAAAGGATCTGACATTAGATAATCTCTGCACTCCGTAGATTGCAAAAAAAAGTGCTACCTATTCCCTGTCTCTGTAAATCCAAGCTGACTGTGCAAGAAAATGTAATAACCATATGTGTTTTGTCTTGATTGCTTAGTACCTTGGTCTTGATCACAAGGTGCCTTCTTCCTCAGTCTAGTGCCATTGAACAAGACACATCAATGTAACAAGGTGATAGGAGGAGCCATGAGATGGGGTCAAGGGCAGTGTGCCAGTGGAGATTTTTAGCAGACAGTTCATCTGAGCTGAGCCAAAACAGGCTTAGTATAATGCCATGATATTTGGACATTGCTTTCTAACTCCTTGTCAACACATTGCAGGCATGTGCCACAATGACGTATAAAGTCCTTTTAGTCAACTGTGGTGCAACTCCTTAAAATGGCACAACAAAATGAAAGGATCAGGGAGGTTTTGATTACTCTTAATGCATAAGCTGAGAATGTCCACTCTCACATCTATTAATTCTTGCCCTAGTGTCTCTGATGCAGCCTAAGGGGTGCCAGAAATGCCAGTGATGTTCAGTTTGTTGTAATGGAGCAAAAGGAGAGACTACTAGAGTTCTGGTTGTGATAGACTGGAACAGCACCCAAGACCAGGGCTCCACATAGCACTGATGTCTAAACAGGTTTTGGGAATACTGGCTCTCCAGGGCCATGGCCAGCTTAGCTGACACTGAGTCCAGATGCAGAGTCCAGACCTGGGGACTGGACTCCACACATGCAAGGTAGGCATGAAGCTGCTACTTGCAGAGGCAAGAACCTCACCGGTCTGGTTATTTACTAGTCATCATTATGGGATGGGAGAGATCAGTTCAAACAGGGATAGTCCTGATTTTCCCTTGCCTCCTTCCTGTCACCTTGAATGTGTATCATTATCTCTACTGAAGTGAAGAAAAAGACATCTTTTGCTATTCTTAAAATATCTAGGTTTGCATTTAGAAGTAGAGCTGCACAGAAAGGGACTCTTTCAAATATGTTTATCCTATATCTGACCTCTGTGCTGTCACACGTGCTGCTGGGCCATCTGCCCAATAAGACCAGTAAGGACTCTGGCTACTAGTGGGTGCTGAAGAGACTGACTTGAGGCTATGGTTCCACTCAGTCTCTGACATGGGTAGATAACTGGTGCTGGGTGCAGATGGGTAGACATAAGGCAAGGCTTGGTTGGGACATAGCATTCCCAGTGTTTTTTGCCTCCTCTGTTTAGGAGTCCCATGGTCTATTAAAGAGCCTTTATGGGAGAAGGATTTACTGGAAAGGTTAAGGAGATACTGGAAATACCCAGTTAATATTTCCTGGCATACTATGTGTTGTTCCATGTAAGAAGCTAGCAGGCTCTCTGCTAACCCTGTGCCCAACCACATCCTGGCTGCCAGGCTCTTGATCACTTCTGAGAGCTGCTTACTTGGGAAGGAGTCAGATTAACTCATTTCAGTTGTGTAAGCTACCTACAAAATCAGCAGAGAGAGACTGGCATCCCTAGAAAATTATTTAATCCATCCTAAAATAATCGGAATGGCTGTCAATGCCTCTCCTCTGCCAGTTACCCTTCTTTATATTGGTTTTACTGGGAGCACAGACTACACTGAAGTGAGGTGAGATGAATTTTGATGTGACCTGCTTGCTTGCCAGCACTCTGTGTGAGAGGAACTGTATCATGTTAGAAGGATGAAAAGTGGGAAAAATGTCTCCTAAGATATATTTTTCTTCCTTGTGGATTTTGACTGTGTGTGATTTTTAGAGCAAATAGGGCAAAAGTTTGCTTGTATTTTTATATCACTGAAACATCAACTCATAGCAGACCTTTACAGGTGTTGAGAAGACTAATTAAATAATAGTACCTATTGTATTCTGGCCTATATGCAGGTGCAAAATGACATTACCTCTTCCCTTAGGTCATAAATGAGAGGAGAAAGTGAAAAGCCATGGAGCCAGTAGGAGAATAAACAGCATATTTCTTCTGTTTATATAATTTCCACAGAGCATAGTAAGAAACATAGTAGGTGACTCAGTATGTTGAAATACACATCCTGGACTACAGAACATTTCTCATTTAATTGTGTATTTCTCCGAATATGTCTTTAAACCTTTCATTCTGATCAATGCAAAGGACAAAAAAGATTTAGCATTATTTGGGACAAAAGAGTGATACCCCTGATGAATGTGAAAAGGACTGCATTGCATTGCTATTTATCTTTTTCACTGTACTTTTTGTGAGATCCTTTCTCACAGAAACATTATTTGAAGGAATTTTATAATCTTTTTTGATGCATACAATCCTATCAAGCTTTCAAGGCAGGAAATGCTTTTATGCTGAGCCTGTCAGTTTCCTTCTCTAATATTCAACCTGTGTGTAGAATAAAATAACTCTTCTTCTCTCTGCATAGTGAACTGAATGCTAGCAATACACACATGATTTTGATTTTCTTGCTTCATCGCAAAACTGTCACAAAAATACATCAGTGTTAAGGATGTATGCTCTTAACCATACACAAAAAACCATACAATGACAATCACTTTACAAAAAGTCTTTGTTGCTGGAAGTAAATTCATCTTCTTCATAGGATATGTAGTCTACAAGATCCTTTCTGAGCATAGGTTATTATAGCAGAATAACAAAGCATGAATACTAATATTGTGAGAGGACATTTAATTTACTAATGGAAAGTCTAAGGATAAATTGTGAAGATGCCTTTGGAAAAATCACATTTATTTTTGGAGCAATATTCAGCCTCTGAGAAACAAAACATAGATAAGTGTCTCTTAATGAACATGATGTAGAACTGCATAGGAATGGAAACTAAGGGATAAGAAATCTGCTTATGAATAGGACACAAAAGAGATTTATCTGATTTTTTTTCTAATATGTAACAGAATGGTTTCTTTTCAAAAATTGAATTTAAAAAATTTTGCAAGACCTATCTTCCTATAGGTCAGTTAAAAAATGGAAAAAAATATTTTTCTGTCCTATTTGATTGCACTTTCCCATAGTGACAGGAAAGATTTATTTAAAAGAATTTAAATAAACAGGTACATTTTACACAGTCTTTTGGTACTTACAATGAGTCTATTGATGTGAACTTGCTGAGGTAACAGTCCCAGAGCTGCTGCCACTCCTTGGCGAAATATCCGAAGCAATGTGATATTTAGCTTGTTTACATCCATTTGCAGTGTCTGAAAAACAAAACCAGTTCAAATTAACTCCTTGATCAAAATATTTAGTTATCAAGGTGACTGATCTCTGTGATAATTCACTAATTGTTGGTTGTTTTATTTTCCCCAGAACAATAATCTGAGCAATCTACTTGCATCACAATAAATAATAGAATGTTAGATTTGCACAATGAAGATTTGCTTTGAATATTATCTTAGCATTTCTCCCTGAAGGCAAGGAATGAGTCAGACATAGTGAAATTATACAATTTTAATTTTGCTTAGTGGTTTCTGAGATCAAAAATAGAAACATTCTGGATACAATTCACATGCTTGAATTTCCAGAAACTTCCTCATGTTAGTCAGAGAATGCTATAATTCCCAGCAGAGACAACATATATCACTGAAGCATTTTCTTTCTCTGTTTTAGAATCATAGTGAAATATAAGTGTTTCCTCAAGTTCAGAGCCTTCTTGTGAAGTCAGTGGAATTTTACCCAGGAAATAATTTCAGTTCAAATCTTCTGTTTCCAAGAAGACCCAGATATAATGTCTTCATATGATACCTGGTGGTCAGTACTTTCATGTTGTACTTTGGTACCACATGCTTTGCTTTCATATCCCTTTTGCAGACAATATGTAGCAGAAACGAGAGGAAATATGAGTATGTCAGATGGCCACAGAAGGCATACAATGCTTCTGGCAATTTCTGACTTAGGAAGTAAGTAAGTTCTGCCTGAGCCCATCGGCTTGAGATGAAAAAGATTTTTTATTTTAAACTTCCTATTTAGAGCCATGGGCCAGTTTGCTTCTCTGAGGGTTCAAGCAAATATTCTTCCTTCCTAATCAGAGCTGCATAAAGAGAATTAAATATCTATGGGTCAGATATCACACTGGGAATATGGTTATGGTTCAGAAAGAAAGACAACACTTTTCTCAAAGGAAAACAGCATCACACATTTTGACTGCTGTTCTTTATCAGTTTTGCTAAGTTATGATATAAAGCTATAAAATATTTGCTTTCCTTTTCCGCTATCAATTTGATTCTTCCATCAGTACTGAGCGTTTTTCTTCCTTCCCTCGCCCTCCCCTTTCCTCATCTTTTTTTACACTAATGGGATTGATGCATCAATTGAGATCTGCTCTTACCACACAGCTGAGCTTTAATTCAACTGGAAGTATTACAGTATTCTTCAAATTAAATTACCCTTTCTACCCTAGCATTTTCAAAGCGCAAAATCTTCTTCTCTTTGCTTCTTGAATTAGACAGACATGCTCAGTGGTTACAAAACTGCTCCAGCTTTATTGTTGAAATAGAGAGATGTCTTGAGAGAGGACATGTGGAGATCTAACAGACCTGAGCACCTTTGTCTCTGTGCCCCACATCAGCTCACTACAGCATAGCACATCTAACAAGAGTTAGTTTGGAGCCGTCACTACACTGAAAGTCGACAGTGTGGTCTGAGGATCCTGACTAAATGAGTAAGGGAGCTGCTGCTGAAATAGAAAGGCTGTCATGAGGGTCCCTAGAGATCCATTAGGATGGTATAAAGAGTGCAAAACTGCTTGTGTAAGTTGATGACCCTGAGTTATGGGGATAATGCTAACTGTTGTTAATGAGCAAAATTAGCAGGCATGAAATCAAAATACATTCAGTTAAACATACTCGAGCCAGGGATCAGAACACATTAACAGAGATGTTGTTAAATAGTGTGTTAAGACCTTGCTGATAAAGACATGGAAATGAAACAGCCAGAAAAATATATAGCTTCAAAGGAAATAGAAGATCTTAAAGAGCCCATAAGGAGGTAATAAATTCTTATAGATTTAGTTTGCTGGGATTGTGGTTCATCACATACAGGGACAGTAAAACGTGGTGAGACTCCGTTATCTTCACATTTCTTTCTACCAGGTCTGAGTTCAGACCACTGTATCCTTTCACAAGTCATCAAAGGCTGCAGTGTGTCTCTGTAACAGCTATATTGTCCTTTGTGCTTCTGGGAGAAGCCTGAAGACCCCAGCACTCACTGTTGGACTGGCATCAGCCTGCTTAAAAAGCTCTCCTGGCCTTGCAGCCAGAAATTTCAGGAACCTTTTAGAAAACCACCTAAGAGAGTGGGAAGAAATTTTTCTTTAAGCCTCATCTCAGGATGCTTCTTGGGGAGCAATAAAGATTTAATTTTTTTTTCAACTATTCATAAAAAAAAACAACAACCAAGAAGCATCTGAGGAAGAAGCAGCTCACATTTTTTATAAGACCCTTGCCTTGCTGTCTGTTAAAGGGATCAGCTTCTCAATTGCTGGTGTCAGTGTGAAGCTTATTCCTTGGCAATTATAGCAAAATTAAGTAAGGGTATCACAGGCTGCCTTTTTCTGCATCAGACAGCACAAGAGAGTGCAATTGCTCCTTCCTATCAAAAGAAAAGTTAGCAGTCCAGAATCTGTCACTTTAGGTAAGGGATTTCTAACTTGACCAGTGAAAGATATGTACAGAAAGGCTTGATGGGATCCTGAGAGCACCTGCTTTAGAATGGCAGCACATCACAAATGTGCTCTGTGGTCTCCATTATCCTTTTTTAGTACTGTATTGTAAAAGCATAAAGCAGGAGTGGACCAGTCTGGAGACATATCAAGTCCAGTATCCTGTGGTCAACTATGGATGCTTATGGAAAATGATAGGAACAGGGCAAGACTATAGTCTTTTCCCACGTTCCTTCTGACAGGATCAAGGCTAATTTATGCCTACTCAGCACTAAAGGCAATGGGCCTCCTCAATTACAAGGATGTTATCATACTGACACTATTAACATCTGGGATGAAGTCAATACTTAGGGGCATTATATTCTCAACTCTGGCATGTACCCTCCTTAAGGTGACTGAAATTTAAGTCTGACCAGAGGTTCTGGTATAAAACTGCCTTTCTGTAAATTCTGAACAATTTTCATTGAAAAAAAGTTAATCAGAGAAAAAGAAAAGTAAAACAAAGAGGATAGAGAAGAGAAAGGAAAAAAAATCTCAACTATTCCTAGTTAATTTAGGAAATTTCTAAAACATTATTAAAATTTTAATATTATTGTGCCATTCCGACAGCATGCCTAGGTACTGTATTGACTATAGTCTACAAAGGTAAGAGATTATACATTAGACAAGCAATAGAAACTGTCATTAAGAGAATCACTCCTAAAATGAAAAGCTGTCCAGCCATTTACTGGTTATAATAACACAAATGAATTGACTGTTAGTTCTAACATCACCTGCAATAGAATGTGAAATTAACCCCTGTAAAGTAAATCCATTTAAATAAATTTTAAAAAGCATTAACATGGATACACAAGTTATGTCTTACTGTGTTCCTCTAGTTGCTCCTTTTGCTTTGGAAAACAAAGGGACAGCACTAATCATTTACCCTTTGCCCATCTCCCGTGTTTATCATGGATGGCAACCACCTCCCCAAGGAGTTTACAGTTTTGAATCTGTTGCCACTGTTGGCAATAGCGACTTGTTGAGCCCAGAGGTGAACACCCTGGAGGACTCATTTTCCTCAGCAATTACCAACCTGGATATTGCAACTGCAGCGACAGTTTATAGGTTTGTCTGATCCAAGTAAAACACACAGTTTGAAGGGAAGGAGTTTTCTGCTTATACTGGAAAACTTGGAAAGACAGAATTGCAGACAGGGAAACTCAGCACAGGAAATCACCAAAGATCATTCACAACTGACATCCAACAGAAGCTTTTTGGTAAAGATTTTCATGTTAAAGGAAAAAAACCCCAAACCCTGACATGAAGGGGATGTATGTATAACACAGTTTCTGAAATAATATTTTTAGGATATTACAATAAATCATAATTTGTCAAGTTCTGCTTCTCAATAAAAATTCAGAGATGCCTCCCTTTCCTATTTTTTTCCTTATCAATTATATCCTTTCTGCAATGAGCTTCAAATATACCATTCCTTTTCTACACATTGGTTGCTTCCCTCTAAAATCTTTCTGATCCTACCACCACAGGCATTTTCTCAAACCTCCAGCTAACCTAAATGTAGGGGAACAAAAATAATCAGGGATGAAGAAGATTAAAGGTGAAAGTATAAGCCTTCACAATACTTTGATGAACAACAATTGAGAAGTAAATCAGCAAATTATGCATGCTAGAAAATGTATACACTTAAAGACCATTGGGTAGTAAGTTCTGTTTTGTGCTAAAGTTAAAATAAACACTCCTACATGCTTAGACTAAACCAAAGAGAAAGCTCAGAAAAGAGTTGTCTTACCTGCCTATGCTCCACTTATTTATATATGTTTGAAGAAAGTCAAAAAAATACTATAAAACATTGTGGTTTTGCACAAAAGCAAATACTGAACTGTGGCCAAGCTGTGGGTCACTCCATCTGAGCACCCTGCTCTGCTGTCTGCACAGTGACAGTGTCTACAGTTAATTAGTGTCACAGTGTTTCATCTTGTCACCCTCATCAGACAGCCTCAGCTGTACAACCGAAAAATAGGCTGCATTTATCAGGAGGGAAGGGGAAAGTGTTGCAGCTGTACTTGTATAGTTGGGTGCAGGACTACAACAAATCTGGCAATAAATTGTGAAAATACCTGCATTTTCTTTCTTTTTTTCCCCCTAAGCACAAGAGTTTCCTTCCTGTTGCTGTTCAACGATATGAGATTGCAGCTGCACTGGATATCAGGTGCCTAATACACATCCACGGAAGATTTTGGCTTTTATAAAATTATATGAGTCATGTGTCACAGCGAGTTTAGTGTCTCACACAGTCCATGAATTGCATGGGAGCAAGCATGTCCTTAGCCAGCATTATGCAACTTCAACAACACATCTTGCCAAGTGCCACTCCAAAAGCACTTTGCCCTAAACCAAACTGGTATCCAAGGTGGCATTTCCTCCTCTCCTCTGTTTATCTCTCACTTTACAATGTGATTTTCTTCAAGAGGAAAACTCTACCCTTTTATGAGATCCAAATTAAACTTTAAAATGTCTGCAAAATAAGATAAAATTATCC